GGGGGGAAGTCATCCTTATCTGCAGTTACATGTACAAGCCATATAAAACAACAATATTTCTGCTTTTACTTCAGAACAGTATGGTACATACAAGTTACTGTGCTTGGAAAGAAGCACAAGCATGCCAGACAGTGATTTTAGCAAATAAAATCCTTTGTTGACACTAAGCAAATACTTTCTTAAAATAATTCGTAGCTAGTCTGAATCTGTGATTTTCTGGTTTTAATATTAATTGAAGGAGACTAAGGATTGACTAAAGCAGGAGAATCTGTTAATTACAGTGCCTGTACTAAATACAAGCAACAAAACCGGTGTTTTGAGACAATATATAACATCTCATTAAAACTTTGCAGAGTGCCAAAGTTCCACTAATTAAACCCTGGTGATTCTTCACCTTGGACAGAGGGTATCACAAACCAGTTGCATTAAATTTGTTATACTCTGGATCACAAGCCTGGCTGAATCAAAGTGAGGTCAAAGCCCCAAATAGTTTGGGATGTGTTGCCCAGCACAGCTCACAGCAAGAGATTTACAGGATCAACCTAAAGATACTCTAGCCCTAAACTATTAACATTTCACTACCCTGTGCCTTCTCCAGCAACACATAACAAATTTAATACCATCAGGTCAGGAAAAGGGTGGCTTCTTGTCTTGGAAGATCTTGCCAAACCAGATTTTATTTATTTTAAGTTACATTAGCATAGGGAAAGACAAAAAAAAGTTTAACCAAAGAGTATTTCTACTTGAGCTGAATTGCCAGTCAGTAAAAACTGACAAGTTATTTATCATTTAAGAACATATTTTGGAAAAGTAAATAAAACACAGTAGATGCTGTTGTGAAATGAAAGGGTCCTGAGAAGTACAGATTATAGGAGCTAGAATTCCAACTAAAAAGTATTTGTAAATAGACAAGAAGTTTCCATTCAGAAGTCACGGGAGCCAAGTCCGCATTGGGCTTTAAAAAAAATGAACAAACAAAAAACCTACCTAGCTTTCCTGTTTTCTGGAATATATTATTTTATCCAAACAGAGTTCATAGATGATTTGGGCCATTCTTACTTTGAAAACAAGGGATTTTAAAATAATCTTCTATTTACCCAAAGAAAATAAGGAGTATCACGCATGCACACAATTTTACAGCATCCAAAACAGTACTCAGTACAGTTTAAGTCTTACAAACTTCTTCCTTCAATTACTCAAAGTCATAAATAACTGCACTATTTACACCACTCTACCTTGCATTTAAGAGTCCACATTTCTATTCACAGATGTCCTGGGTTCAGAATTCTATGGATTTAGAAAAGCCCATTCACGTTATCTGCAAGTTTGCAGAAAAGCACAATCTCACATGAAGCAGCTATATTACCTAGTTAGTTTCCTACATAAAAGTTTGGGGATTTTCATGTTTGGTTAAAGGAAAACACTGCCCTTTAGCATATGCTAATTTTCCAACAAAGTTACAGCAAGGAGCTTCAGCTAAAAATAGAGTATGTATTTGTGCATTCCTGATACCCTGCCAAACTTCAGGATGGCTTTAGTTTCTAAATAGGATAACCATCAGTGGATAGAAAATAACTTTTTTTTATATTCTGCATAGTTAGAAGGTATCTTTGAGATGCATTTTAAGAGGTAACTACAAAGTATGCAAGATTTCACAACATAGCTCAAAAAAAATTGCTGATCTGTTTATCGTTAAGTTTATCTATATTCAAGAGAAATAAAATGGTCTTTTCCATATAGTACTTTACCAACATTTTGCCTCTTCATACCAAGAGATCCATTTTCATAGCATTTTAAACTTAGTTATTAATAGATATGCCAGCAGTAACTAATCAGGTCCCTTACCACACAGAAGTATTCAATACAACCTTGCATTAGTGAAATTGTCAGGATTATATGACTAAATAATTCCACCCATACCTTTTCATCAGGACATCTTTAACTATATCCAACCCAGAATCTGTCCGAAGATTCCAGGTATAGGAAAGAAAATGTTATTGCCAACAGAGACTACTTGAGGGAGGGATTCAGAGGCTGTGTGCACATGTATGTACTAATTGACAGATGAAGCTACATGAGAGCTACTCTCTCTCTCTCTGGATGCAGAATTGTCCATTACCATCTACTACACATATCACATATCTGACAGAATGGTGATGGGTGTCTTGCTAAAATGTGAGATAAGCAACACAGTGGGAAGAAAACCTGCAAGGTTATCATATACAGAACAAAATACAACCCAACAGTATCAGATTTATTCAACCCAGGGTGGAAGGTGGGTGGGTGTAGAACACGAATGTGAAAAGACAAGAATTTCACATAAGGCATAGGTCAGGAGTTGCAAAAAGATTGACAACCTTCTGTAGGTGGGCTCAGCTTAGACTTGTTTGCCCTAAAAAAGGGGAACATCAGCTGCTCCCTATTTCTGTAAGCACACATGCCCTCTTTCCCCCACTAAATTTACCAATGGCAAAAAGCAACACAGGATGCCCCTGTGTCAGATGACATCAGTCCTTCATGATCTGCCTATTACATAGGACAACACCATGTTCACTTTCAAGTCTGTCATGCCATTAGGTACTGCATTTTGAGACTGGGTGATAAAAGCATGAGCAGAGAAACCTTACGGCTGTGCAGGTCTTTATCATACAAAATGCAGACAAGCTGTATCATACCTCCCTTCCAATGGACTGTCATCAAAGGAAATGCTTAATATGTTAAAGATGTCTGAAAAGTGAGACCAAACCCATGAGCCAGACAAACAGATCAAGCACATGTTCCAAAATTCAAAAGCTGCATGTTATACAAGATGAGCTACGTGCCAATGCTATGCATGTAGATCTAATCAGCAAAAATGGTGTTAAAACTGTAGACGCTTACACTCAAAGATGACCTAACTACTGGGTTATGCCAAGACAACTTAACAATCAGGAAAAACACATAGATTTCTTCAAAAGAGCAGAGATATTTTTTACTTCTGATCCAAATCTCCCAAAGTAGTTAAGTCTGGTACACTGTATCCCTTTATGAGTTTCCATCAAAGTCCAAATGAAGATTATACTTGAAATTTTTCTTCAAAATGCTCTACACTCCTTAAAGATTCAATGCTAATTGATAAATGCCCCCAGAAAAGCATTCTGTAGCTACTTTCTTTACATGTTCATTACAGTCTTTACTGTTACCCTACTGATGTGAGGTCTCATTACAAAAAGCCCAAGAAGCATATCAACCAAGCCTTTCCTTTGAAGGAAGGCTATCACCTTTACAACCACCAGGGGATGTGCACTGCAAGAATACCAAAGCTTTTATGAAAATGAGCTGGAATGGAAATCTTACCATGCTTGCAAATTTACAAAGTAACAGCTTAAGAAAGCCTTGGACATTTTCTGCAATACAGCCATTTGCCATTATCTCTTACCACTGTTGAAACAATCATTCCAAGAATACAAGTACATAGATCTCTGTTGCTTGCTAAATTAATAGTATCTTTCCTATTATTATTCAACACAAATCATTAGTTGCTCTAAAGCTTCCATAAAATTACAAGCTGATAATCAGTTAGCTACAGTGTGCACCACAGCACATAACCTGCTTTTTGTTCATCATAGCAGTTTTACTATTTATAGTCCAGTAAAAGGTTTTACACCCAACTGAGCACACAAAATTCTGGTATCCAACACTAGGAATTATGAAAAAAAACCCAAAAAAAAAAAAAAAACCAAACAAACCAAAAAACCCAAACCAAAACCAAACCCAAAACGACCATCAGATGACACAACGTTCTTACTTTTAGCAGTTCAAAGTAATGAAGACAGTGGTAAACAGGGGCAAGGAGCAGCCGGGGTAGAACATACTGAACAGCTTCTTTGAAGCCTTCACCTATTGACTAGAAACAAAATAAGTTTCAATCTTAAAACACTAAATGCATTGAAACAACAATACATTGAAATACAATGTAATTAAAATAGTAATATCAATAATATGGCTCACTTAAAAGAGAGTTACCTGTAAGTAAAATGCTGCTCCTGGCTTTGATAATTGACTTAGAAAATGATCATGAAAACCAGGTCGCAAAATATCTTGTGCATATGATTCATATGGATCAAATGCTAATTCCTAAGAAGAAATACAGATTAATTTTACAAAGCTGATTTAGAATCTTAACTTGCATATACTACATAGGAGAGACTTTCCTGCATACTTTTTCCAAAATATCTGTACAGAAGATTCAATACTTTTATGTGCACAGACTCATAGAGCAATTCAGTCTGGAAGAGATCTCTGGAGGTCCACAGTTTGCTCAGGGTCAAAGCCAAATCCAGCATCAAAGCTAGCTGAGATTGCTCGGGGTCTCATCCAGTTGAATTCCAGGTACCTAAAAAACCTCTGTTCAGCCTAATCCAATGTTTAGTGGTTCTCATTGTAGATCCCTAGAAGCTCATCTTGCCAGTAAAAGCCAAGCAGAGGAGACTTGAGCACCTTAGTCCATTCCATGTCCCCCAACACACAGCCTCTCACCCCATAAGCAAGACACCCATGTTTTCTACCGTCATCTTTTTCATGCTATTTTACCCTTTCTGCTTTTCTTCATATTCCTCACAAACCATGGCCCTAAGCATCATGTCTACAATTCTTTTAAGCACCTCCAGCAATAGTGACTCAACCACTTCCTTGGACAGCCTGTTCCAATGTTTGAAAACCCGTATGGTGAAGAATTTTTTTCCTAATATCCAGTCTAAACCTCCCCTGGTGCATCTTGACGCCATTTCCTCTTGTCCTATACGCGCTACCTGGGAGAAGAGACTGATACCCACCTCATTACAACCTCTCTTCAGGTAGTTGGAGAGAGCAATAAAGGTCCCTCAGCCTCCTTTTCTCCAGCATAAACAAGCTCAGTTCCCTCAGCCGCTCCTCACAGGACTTCTTCTCTAGACCCTTCACCAGCTTTGCTAATCTTCTTTGGATGCGCTCCAGCACCTCAATGTCTTTCTTGTAGCGAGAGGCCTGAGTTTGGTTAAACAGGAAACTCCAAACTGCACTTGTCCTTGCCTCCTGCTACACCTACCCTTTTCCTTAGGGACTGGGAATGCATATTCCCTGTGATTTGTGCACACTGCCTTTGAAAATAAACCAGTTCTCCTGAGCCCTCTCCACCCTCAAGGTAGCCACCAATGTGATCTTGCCCTCCCAGCTAAGTCTACTCTCCCAAAGACCCGGGTCTTCAGTCTGCTTATCTCCTGCACTTTTCTCAGGACTTTAAACTCTATCTTCTCTACCTCTTACTGCTAAACCTGCCATTAGCTATGATGTTCCTGTCAGTTCTTCCTTGTTTTTGGGAAAGAGGTCAAGTGTAGCACCCTTCTTAGTTGGCCCATCAGCATATGTCACAAGAAGTGCCCCAGTGCCTTCCAGAATCTTCTGGATTACCCAAACCACAGCAAGTTGTCCACCCCAATGTCAGGAAGGTTCTTCTCCCTGAGAAGCAGGGCCTGCAATAAATAGATGACTCGTGCTTGCTTAGAGAAGGCTTTCTAAGCAAGTAGGCAGTCTTTGCAGAAGAAGCTTGACCACAACATGCCCTTTGGAGGCCTTCTCCAATTTTGATCCTTATGTATTCAACCAGCTCATCATTCATTCTTTAACAGAGCTCCATGTATTAGAGCTAACATTCTGTTAAGCCTCTTGGCCTCATCTTTCCCGCCTGTCCTTCTTGAGTACCTGTATTTGTTCATATAGCCCTCCATTGTGCAACCTTTCCTACCACATCACTAATTCCAGCCACATGACAACTCTGAAACTGTGTACATACTCCCAGATCCTATTATCTGTGCATGAACATGTACCCTTGGGAAACGGAGACTTCAGATTAGCCTTTGGCCATCCCACCTTCTCAGGAAGAAGGTGGAAGAGCCTTTGTTCTCATGCTTTCCGTTATGCACATCCCCTTCTCCTCTAAATTCTTCAATCTGCAAGCTTTGGTCTCCATCCACTACTAAGCCCAGTTCATAAACCTTCCTCACCAGCTCAGCAAGCCTGTTGGCAAAGAAGCCCTTGTCCCATTTTCTTTCCACAGCAATCCTAGTCTACAACTGATTTAGAGGATGTCTCTGTTTCTGTCAAAGCCTAGTCACAGGTGTTTGTGGTATTCCCCTCTGCCCATGCTATCTAAATTTTAAACACTCTATAAAACCTGAAGTTTAGAGACTACAAAGGTAAAAGCACTCTCAAAAATGGGCAGTCTTCTTCATTGTGGTGGAGCTGGAAGAAGAAATCTCAACCTAAACAGAAGCAGCTACAACAGAGATCCACTCAGCACCTAAGCGCAAGTCATTAAAATATATAAATAGCAAAAAACAAAAACAAACCCCCAAACAAACCCAAAACCCCACAAAATATTTGCTTACCTCAGCCATGTCTTCAAAACAGCTGCCTACCAGGGGATGAGGACTACCTTCATCTGTCATTTCAACGGTGTCTTCTATATGACCTAATAACTTCACACTAAGTTCATGTATGTCCGATATGCGGCTAAATATATTTTCCACATCCTGCAAAAAGCGATAGAACCAGACAAAATTCAACAGGGAACTGGACACAATTTCTAAGAGGAAAAATGTTACACGCAAAGCTACTCTGTTATGATACGAAAGTCAAGCACTTCCTTAAATTATAGAACAAGATTTTATAATATATTTTATGATATAATTTTATAGAATTTATTTTTAAAGTAACAACTACATATATGTACAGGTATATAAAAAGTTACAATGAATCAAATATGGCAAAAAACGACAACAAAAATTAAAGGCCTGAAAGTGAATACAGTAAATTGGGTGGTTTCTTCCACATTTCTACAAAAACCATGCTTCCTCACAAGTGCTCCTTTACTATTTCCATTTCAGAACTTGAGGCAGGTGCTTCCTCTACTACTGATATGTTAAACTGGACAATAGTTAAGTTCTAGAAATGCTCATCTAGACCTACAGATACTGTAATAGGGAGTTTCTTGTTTGTGGTTTATACAATACTTACATGAGATGAAAATAATTTGGAGTTGGAGGCATATGGCTCTCTAAAAACTCTGATAATGAGATTTAGTTCCCTTATATATTGTCGAACCTCTGCCATAAATGATTTCACGAGGTCGTAATAGGTTTGCTCCCCTGAGGTGGAAGGTTCCTCATCAGATAAAGTTAGTGCACTTAAATCTTCTACATCTTGATGGAACATATCCATTAATACCTAAGTAGCAAAGACAGAGAAATCCACAAAGTGAGAACAACCTCTTTTCAAGATCTACCAGTAAGTTACTAGTTAATAAAATCTATTCTTCACATGAAATCAGACTGATCAGCAGTAAGATTTACATATTATCATTCTGCACTTGCTTGAACATTTGCAAAAGCAATATTCATTGCTACAAATTTGCAAGTCATTATTTGCAGCCAGACCAATCCAGGCATCTCTCCAAGAATGTGGTCCTAAAATCAATTACAATTTTAAGACTATGAAGTATGCAGACACATTTAGCATTTAGCTGTATTCTATTACTCTGAATTAGCCATATATGATATGATGTATATACATGTATGTGTGTATATATATACATATCTGAATATAGTACCTGAAGTCAGAAAGTGTATGCATTTTGGCTTTTCAGCTTTAGCTTTAACAGGAAGTCACACATGGACATACTCAAAACCCTGTAATCTATCTGTGAACAACACTAGCCTACCCACACATACAATGTGGCCTGGTTTCTGTCCTTAATAACTTGAGTTGTCTTGTATGTTCAGGGAAGGGCATCAGCCTCAGAAAAGGTGGCAGTCACACTGCAGAACTGCACTGACAAAAAGGACCTCGGCTGCCACAGGTCTCAGTTTATACCCAAGGCAAGGCTTACCAAACACAAGCGATTAATAATTTGAACTTTGAGAAAAGCGGATCACTGAACAGTTCTTCCAAACACAGTATCTGAGCCAGGAGTCATTAAAAAGACTTAAGCAAGTGACAAACAGAAACCACACTTTGGGTTGTTTCCACAATACCCGAAGAATATCTTAAAGCTAAACTGCAAATTAGTAAAATGCATCCTAATTTGAAGTATGTTTAGCAGAAAGAAAACCTAAAGAGGGTCCACAATCAATCTACAATGACGTAGTAAATCTTAACAACAAGCCAGCATAAGATGTAGTTCAACATACAAGATGACTTTGTCCTGGGATAGATGTGACAGTATTTATACGCCAATCTGCTGCCCAGAGCTATATCCCTTCCAGAAAGTCATGAATTGTACCAAACAATACATGTGAACTTCAAATCACATGAGAACGGAAGAACTGCTTGCCAGTCTCCTTCCCAAACAAATAGAGGCAAAGCCATGGAAAACTATGCCTCTTACTGCAGAGTCTGACATGACTGCTGTCAATCACTGACAAGACTGAGGAAAAGACTGCGGGATCAAAGCTGTAAATACTCTTCTGAGAGCCGTAGGAAGGAAGGCTAACACATTAAACATGAACTAGAGGTTTCAAAATGACAGAAAACAGAATAAGAAGTGTTTTTTCAAAGTAATTATAGAACTGGAGACCAAGAATTAAACTTACGAACGAGCCACAACAAACATGGCATTTACCCTGGTATTTACAGTAAGCTTTCATTCTTCATGGCATGTTACAGGCACTTCTCCAGAAGATGTGTCATTTAACCAATCTGTGACTACCGATACTAGACAAATTAACTATTCTGCAAGAGAATACTTGGCAACCTGTAAGTTCAAGAGATCTGGTAGGTTCATCAGACTTGAATACTGGAAGAAACACACCTACCTAGAGCAGTCATTCTTCACACAGGTCTTGTCCTAACACAAATATACAGGTCTAGCGAGGAGTGAAAATGGCAAACAGCAGGTTCTTTCTCCTAGTGAGTCAAAGGTCCCTGCTACACACCCTGGTCTTAAGCTTCTCTGAAAGCAGAACAATGGACATTTTGCATTAAGACTGTCTTCTTCTGAAGCTCTAAGAACAGGTGGTGATTCATCTTTCAAAGCCAGTACATGAAACTCAGGTTACAAAAAGAAACCTAACTGATTCTGGGGAATGGGACATTATTGGGTTACTACTGTAGGAAATAACATGAAATACTGCAGGTATTCAAGGAGGCGCCAACATTTGTAACTACTTTGCAGACACAACTCTAGCATGTACTTGAGCTAGAAGATTCCAAGCTGTATTCAGAAGGCGCATATCCCACTAGTGTGAAACCCACAGAATGCATGAGCAAACAGAGAAAGAGAACAGCTTGCATTTTATTGGTTTGTTTTTTGCAGACAATGCAAGATTTTCCAAATGGATGAATGGCACAAAAGTAGGTGTGAAAGTGGTTGAGAAAAAAATAAAAATGCCACACAGAGCCAAGAAACTGCTCTAGTTGTTTTGTTTCAAAAAAATAAAAACAAGCAGAATACGTTACGGGAATGAAAATAATATACTATGCACTTTCTCAACTCAGTTGGAAGGAAAACACCTTGGGAGCACCTTTCAATGGCTAGTTCTGTAGAGGCAGTAAACCAACAGGTTTAGAGCCTTTCAAAAGTTTCTCCTCTGTACTTATCAAAGAGTTCCTCCAGTGTAATGTAACAGAAGTTTCTAAATCAACTAAATCACAGTTTTCCTTGGATATAAAGAAGCATGCAGCAACAGCACTTATTCCTATTATTCTATGACAAATATTCAAATATACACCTTCAAACCCTGCCCTAATGACCCAGGCAGGTATGCCCAAAGGCAAGAGTGACCAAGACTCCTGACCTGACTGAGAAGTATTTGACTCTTCAAGACCTCATCAGATACCTTCAGAGAGAGAGTAAAGAAAGGTGAAGGAAGTATGATGAAAAAAAAAAAAAAAAAAACACCAAAACAAACAAAAACCAAAAAACCAAGTAGGAAGAGATAAAGGCATTAACTGAAACAGAGACAAGCCAACCAAAGATACTGATTAACACAGACCAGGACAAAATACTGAAAACAGGTGATAAACCTGAAAATCCCTAGACTTGAAGATAAGAGTTTCTTAAATCCCATCCCTTAAGGGATTAACTTCAAGCTTTGTTTCATAAACAATGGAAAACTTGAGATGCTGATGAGGTGGTCACAGAAGGGAGGGTGCAAAGGCACCTGAAAACAGACAGGGGACTTTGCTCTATTAACTGCTGGAAAGAGCAGGGATTCCTGTGTGAATGCAATTAATCTTTTGAAGCTACAAGAAAGACTACCTGCAGATAAAAATATGGACTGCTAAGGAGGATTAGGCTGATATGCTAACACAGGTGTGGGGTTCTTTTTAAATGCTGGACCATCAAAACATTACTTTTCACATGCAATACAGCCTTTTTTATTTTGGGAGAGCACCCAAGCTTAATTTCAGCTTTCTTTTTTAAAGCTATAAAAAAAGCTCCACTATAACATCTTAGGAGTGTTACATTTTTAAATTAGTGCTGCTTAACAGTAATTTTTAAAGCATTCACACATTGCTGAGATTAGGCAAGTGATATCAAAAGGAAGAGAAACTTAACTATTAATAAGCACAAGCAGCAGCTCTGTAAGCTCAATTAGCTTTTTGGTAGCTTTGCTTTATTACTGGAACCATGTTTTATGGCAGTAATTTCTTCTTTCAAAGGTACAACACTCGATGTACTCAATAAGGAACAGACATTGTCCACTCAAAGCTTAACTAAAGTTTCCTGTTAACATGAGAAACAAGAGGTAGGCTTACCTTATCAGCACACATTGCCACTTTTATATCTTGTTTTGTAATCTCATAATGTCTTATATTCCGCACATAATTCCCAACCAATTTTAAGATGTCTGCAGAAATGTATTCTAATACTGCCACTATGTAAACAGACACTTGGTGGTCAATTTTGTAGCCTAGAACTTCCTGAAAGGAAAAAAAACGAAAACATGTTCTACTGTTACTCAGTCGATGACATAGACACCATAGGTTACAACTAAACTCAGGTAAGTTCAAGACCCTACTTAAACATTCATCACATATTCACAGTCCCTTTTAGAAATAGAAACACAGTGGTCTGTAGGCCTGGAGAAGAAAGTGTCATTGTAGGTGTTGCTCTGTGGAAGTGACAATAGCCAATGACTGTCCCAAAAGCCATACTTTACGTTTCAGGCAGCATATAGACATTACATGAAACAAAGGCATCAATTTCTAATTACATTCTAAAAGCAGGATTGCACCACTGCTTACCTTTAATAAGGGATGGATTTTTTCTACTGGGAGAGATAACGGATTTCTTCGTTTCCTCTTCTCAATAGCAGACTGGGCATCAGCTATTGCCCACTTGTCAATAGGATGGGGAAAACTTTTTTGAACACGATCCTTAAAAAAACACAAGTAAAGGGTAAATCCACAATCTGCATGAGGTTAGCAATATTACATTATCAAATTACTTTCCATTACTTAACAAGGGAATGTTTATTAATGTTAGTATTTCAACTATAAAAGCTTATACAACACATGCAAATTTGATCATTTTAGTACATGCTGCTCACTACATTCATAAGGCTGTACCAGAATATCATTATTATAGAATAATCTAGTGCTCAAAAGTTGAGAAATGCCAGAATTAGGTTGCCACTGCAGGCACAATTTGCTCCCCTTGTGCACTTGCCTGGTAATTCAGCATTTAAATACATGACTTATGTTTTCTCCTAGCATTTTATTCCCTGTACAGAATGGTCACTGAATGAGACGAGTTTTCTGTTTCACCTTTATCACCAGCACGTGGGCCAGACTGTATATGTGTAAACTGCTCTGATGATGGCAATGAACATAATAGGTAAAAATACATCCAACAGCACACATGTATTTTAAAACAGTTTCATAGTCTACAGTTGGACCACATATGCCCCAGTTTATTTGCTCCTTCCAGTACCCAAGGTGACTGAGGACACCGACCCTCTCCTGCTAGAACTCACACACAGGTCTCCGAAGGTTCAACAGCTTTCCTGTTTTTGGTAGCCCTGGTGTTCACAGACACCAGAAATCTTAATTTCTCTGATAACTTCTTATTCTATTTTTCAAACCACAGTTCCCACTGACTGTTTCAGTTGCAAGTGCTCACTTACGTAAACATGACTCCCATTTGAGCAACCATGAAATGAGGAAGATGAAGTTAATGACCTCTTACAATGATCTGGTACAGGACAAAGTACACAAAAAAACTTTCTAACAAAAAAAACCTGGGACAAAATACAATTCTATAAAGGTGGTGCCCATCTTTGCAAAGTACAGGCTTTTCTTTTTCTCCCCTCATCAAAACAATTCTGCAAGAGAAAGCAGAGGTCCTATAAAAGAGAGTCTCATTCACTATCTAATACCAATTCACTCCCCTAACATAGTCCAGCCTGATGATTGAACAATGGAAGTGTCCTGGGGGAATAATAAATGTGTATGACCGTATAATTAAAGACAGCACCATCATGCATAAACACAAAGGGGGTAAATTGAGGTTGTTTGGTCATCTCCAATTCTTGCATTTCTCATCCTGATGTCACAGACTTGTCATGCAATGCTGTGTGTCAATTTTTTTGTTAAAAAAAAATATTATTTAAAACACAGCATTAAACAATCTTCCACAAACTTCTTGTCTCTTGAGGTGCCAGACCAGAATGATGTTGCCAAACAGGCCAGCCATTAAAGGGGATACTGGAACACCATCAGAGGTGAAAGTGTTCATAAGAGAAAAAGAAGCATGAGATTAATAAATCGTGAGTTCAGAGACAACTACTTTTACTTTTTAATTGCGTTTTGATTTTTTGTTGCTGGGTTGTTTTGGTTTTTGCCATTAGTCCACTTTCTTCAGAATGTGAGGAAGTTGCATCTTGCTTTGTTACCCAACCCAGCACAGGCAGAGCCCCAACAGGCACACCACACAGTCTGTAGGTTGGCACCAAAGTCTTCGAGTCATGCCTAAGCACAAAGGGCTACCAAGATATTCATAGGCTTAGAAGCTTAAGTCATTTAGCTTAACTAATTTGCCTCTCAGATGGAGAAACTCTTCTCAGATCAAGCTCTCTTCTCAAACATCAAGCTGCTTTTCCAAGCAACAGATGTAGGTCTTTGAAAAGGCAATTTTAAGAGAAAAGGTTCCTATACAGAGGAAAGAAGTGTTCCTCATTCTGAGAAAGTAACTAAACTATTTTTGTACAACTTTCCAGGACAATAGAGTGTGTACCACTCTAAATCACTGCTGAGAGAACAGCACAGAGCCTCAGACTAAGCAGCTAGAGTTTGCATGCACTATCAGTTGGGAAAAAAGTCCTTCTGAAAGGAACCAGTCAGATTTACATACACAAGCTACACTCACCATCTCTTATACGGTGGCACAGTTCAGAGATAGTTTTACTGTGCATTGAACAACAAATTCAGTTGGTAAGAAAATCAGATATTAGGTAACTCAGCATACTTTATGCAGAAGGTTCTGCTACAGAAGGACACAATTACTGCTTTCCTTTTTATGTTGTGAAATGATTCCTATATTAACTTTTCATGTAACAGTTCAAATTATTACAGATTCGTAATAGTTATTCTCTGTACCTCTACATCCAGGAAACTTCTTGGTTGGGCTTGACACAACATATTTAACAACTGGAGAATTAACTCCTCCACATACTGCAATGCATCTTCAGTAGATGAAAGTTTAGGATGGACTTGCACCTGAACCTACAGGAAATAGAAGAATTCCAGCTTTGAGTTTTGCTCTTCCCCAAACCACATGCTTTTCTTGCAAAAAAAGATGACAAATGAACCACACAGCTCAGGAAAATCCAACCCAAAATGTAGCTCTATTACGGCACCCCAGACAAACATGAGTGGAACACTCACCTATACCAGATAGGAATACAAATGTTAAATGTACTCAAAATGCTGTGACACTGAATGCAAAAAAGGAAAAAGCTAATGAATAACAGTGCAATTAGGAAAACTGCTTTAAGCCCCTGCATATATTTATCTTTGTCCCCTAGATCTTAAACCACTGTGGGTAGAAGACATTTCAGGGTCATCATTCAACCTATAATAATGGAATAGATAACTTTTTCACAGAGAGTGCTACAGAAACAGCAATGGTTTCAGCAGTATTTAGTTTTCCAATTATTTAGTCCATTCTTAGGTAGCTCCCACTAGAATAAAACTGATTTAGAAGTTTGTTTCCACACTGATTTTTAGTATTTCAGCCTGTAGAGTGAAAAACACTTCCAAAAAGGCCACAGTGTTGTCCTGACATTAAATGGCAGCTCAGAGGTTTGGAAAGTGTGGCCTCCATACATTTACTGTATAAGTGCCTGTAAATTCTCATTTGTGTAAATCCACTGAGGCAGATACTCCTTGCTCTTCCCATTATTTTTCCAGACAGTGATTTAACTTAGAATCATAGAATAGTTAGGGTTGGAAAGGACCTTAAGATCATGTAATTCCAACCCCCCTGCCATAGGCAGGGACATCTTACTCTAAACCATGTCACCCAAGACTCCATCCAACCTGGCCTTGGACACAGCCAGGGTTGGAGCATTCGCAACTTCCTTGGGCAACCCATTCCAGTGTCTCACCACCCTCACTGTAAAAAACTTCTTCCTTATATCTAAGCTAAGCTTTCCCTGTTTAAGTCTGAAGCCATTACCCCTTGTCCTATCACTACAGTCCCTGATGAAGAGTCCCTCCACAGCATCCTTATAGGCCCCCTTTGGATACTGGAAGGCTGCTATGAGGTCTCCATGCAGTCTTCTCTTCTCCAGGCTGAACAGCTCCAACTTTCTCAGCCTGTCTTCATATGGGAGGTGCTCCAGTCCTCTTATCATCCTCATAGCCCTCCTCCGGACTTGCTCCAACAGCTCCATGTCTTTTTTCTGTTGAGGACACCAGAACTGCACACAATACTCCAAGTGGAGCCTCATGAGAGCAGAGTAGAGGGGCAGGATCACCTCCTTCGACCTGCTGGTCATGCTCCTTTTGATGCAGCCCAGGACACGGTTGGGTTTCTGGGCTGTGAGTGCACACTGCTGGCTCAGAAGTGTTTCAACTTCTGAAACAAGCCTCCAGTATAGTTTTCCTTTGCACTTCTGTAGTTCACAAAATAGAGTTTTAACCAGCTTTTATTTCAGGTACACAAAGCTCAGTGCCTCAGATCTTAGGCAGGTCAATCCTACACCAATGGCAAATATTATGCCAGAGCAAGCTGACTGCTGACTTTCACAATGCATCTTTCAAGCCCCAATTTCATCATTTTAGTATTCCACTGTACACAATTCAAAATGCCTCCAGTTCTCCCAATCACTATCATAAGAGCTTAACCACCTTAAGCCAAAACTCAACAATCCATCTCATCCAAATATCAAACCCATGTCTATGTTCAAATAATGGTACCATAATTATTTAATTTCATACAGGAGATTTCATTCCTGTTTGCAGTTACAGCAAGAATTAAATGTTATGAAGTTCAAACACAACAGCATCAAATAGAAATCTACTTGCCTACTAAGGCACTCATTAGCTTGAAAACTTCATGCCTGGGCATAGTCCTGGTGCTCATTTAACCACTGCTGAGATTTAAATACACAAGATTATGCGCTTAGTTTCCTGCAGACTGCATACCCTTATGCAGCAGGTCTTAAAAAACAACACCTCCAGAAGTCACTGCTTTTTAAACTTAAAAGCACTCTGACAAAAATAGAACAGAACTTCTCTCCATTTGACTAGCCAACGCAACTATTTTGATTATGCCAACAGTTTCATTTTTCCTAAGAAGTTCACTGTACACAGCTACAGAGTGTGTTTGTGGAGGTGCCTGAGTAACAGCATGCCCAGCAGTCCCAAGCATTATTTACAGTTCAAACACTGACATCTGAAATACTGTAACAGCTTGTAACATCTTAACACCTGAAATTACAGACTTGCAGAAGTATTCTCTTCAAGATCAGAGCTGATTTGAGCTGCCTGGAAAATGCTGCCTTTAATGTTTTGTTGGGTTTTTTCTAAAGCAGAACTGAACAAATTTCTATCACATTCTCCCTACAGTATACTCTGGCACTTTGTATTTTGAGAAGTGTTAAATTACCAAGTCAATCCAACAGTAAAAATACAGAGCATGATAACTGGAGTGATGTAGAGCAGCTCTAGTTTCTCCTTTGCTTAGAGAACAGACTGTAGACTTAAATAGCCTCATTGCAACTCTTTCAGTCTGTAATACAGTCTATAGGAATAAATAAAAATACCACATCAGGCTGTGACCTGAAACATTACCTGTAGTCAGCCAAAGCAGTCAACAACAGTAACCTAACTTTATCTAGTTCAGGAGATAAAGTTCCAAACATTTTTCCTAA